GCAGGGCGGGGAGGCTGGGGCGGCGGCCGTCGGGCTCTTCCGCCGCACGGACGGGCGGCGCGGCCCCCTGGAATGAGACGGAGTCACAGCAGGGCACCGGGCCAGGCCCAGCTTCCCCCTTAGCCCGGTCACTTACCCGGCAGGTGGCCGGCGGGGGGCGCCCGCGTGGGCGCGGGGCCTTCGCAGGTGGCCGAGCTGCGGGGCGCTGGGCCCAGGGAGGCCTCAACGACGCTGCTCAGCAGGGCCAGAGCCACTAGGGTGGGCCACAGGGCGGACTGCGTGGAGACAACGTGGAGCCTCAGGGAGGCACGTGGGCGCAAGGTGAAGGGAGATCAGAGAGGATGGGCTTCTAGCTGGGTTGGGGGGAGCTCACCGGGGCGGAGGTAGGAGGGCGCTGAGGCAGCAGCCTCAGGGAGTGGAAATCACCTGAGGGCCATGACCTGCCTACACAAGGGCTCCAAGTCTACCCAGACCCTTCATTTCCCCCTCCCACTTCTGACTCTGCTTAGGTCAAGCCCCTCTCTCCTTTGCCATTCAAGCTCTTTCCTCAATACTGGGTGGGAGACCCTGCAAGAACCACTCACCAGCCGCCTAGGCGGGGGCCAGTGGGGCAGCACAGAAAGGCCTCCAGGTCCAGGCTCCATCTCTGTCAACACAAGGAGCGCCCATCAGGGGTGGTTGACCAGTTCCTCTCACTCCTTTCAAGGCCACTTAGAACACTGAGAGATGAGTTCTCTGTTGTGCAGTTCATCTCGTCTCCCCAGTTCAGGTGCTCCAGGTGGGAAACAAGTCCTGTGTCTTGCAAAGCTGCGCCCATCCCAGGAGGGGAGGTAGTACACTGAGAAGCTGTGTCTTGCTGCCTTGCACCTGTTCCCCCCTAGAGTCCTCATGACTCCGCAGAGTAAATGGTATAGCCCCCCCTTTCCAGATGAGCAGAGCAGGCTGAGGGAAGCTCAGTGATGGTCTGTGGTCACAAGGCCAGACCCACACGATCTGGGGCGGGGGTTGAGGATGGGGCGTTGGAGGGGTCATCTCTTTTTCCAGGACCTTCGTGTTCTGTGCTAAAGGGCTGGGGCTGCCAGGACTGGATGCCTCCTCTCCATGCCAGAGGAGGCAGGCGCGACATGGGAAGATTTAGGATGCTTTCTGGTTGCCCTGAGAGTTGTCTGGTGGCAGTGAGGCCCAGATTTCATCCTACTGCACGCTATTCCTCTGTTAGCTCTCTAGAAGTCTCTCCAAGCTGTGGCATTTGTCGGAGGCTGAGAACTTGGGCCCTGGGCCATGGCTTCCTATGACCACCAGGGGGCAGCATCTGACAACTGTGATGACAAAGAGGGGGTGGGCTTTTCCCCACCCTAAGCCAGACTCAGGCCTGTGCATCTGCCAGGAGGGTCAGTCTCCACACCAGCCTGGTCTGTGGGAGCTGAGCCACCCTGTGCTGGTCTCTTGCAGCCTGGCATCCTAGGCCTGTTGTGCCTAGAGGTTTCCCCCATGAACCATCCATTCCAGAGCCCAGGCAACCTTTGTGAGCCCCATCAGACTTTGTAATACGGTCTTGGTTGTCACATCCTCTAGACTCTTCGTCCCCAGCCCTCATGAGCTCTCACTAACTGGCCTGCGCTTGGGTCCCAGCTGTCATCTCCATGCCACCCAGTAACACACCGAATGTTCACATCCAGGCCGGCCAGGCCTCCTCAGGCCTCCCGGTATGGTCGGCCAGGGCTCGGTGCACGCAGTTAACTGCCTGTGGGGATTGAGGGGCCAGGCTAGTGTGACACCTTCTCAAGGATGGAGAGGAGGCTGGACTAGGCAGCCTTAAGGCCCCCTGCACTAGGGGGAGCTCAGGAGCAGGGCCCTCCAGGGCAGCCCAGGCGGCATCTCCTGCTCCTGGCAGGCAGTCTAGGGGGCTTGGTCCTCCAACACTTACCCACGTGCCAGCCACTACTCACACAGAGGTCCCGGGCTCTGTTTTCCTAGGCACCTTTCTTGGGGCCAGTGCTGGGTTCCTGCGTGGCGCAAAGTTTCATGCCCAGAGCTGTGCGCCTGGCAGCACCTCTTTAGCCAAAAGCTTGGCCTTGGCAGGCAGCCTGCACCCTGTAGTGGCAGCAGGAGCCTCACATTACACGGGGCCAGCAGGGCTCAGCAGTCCGATAAGCCACAGGAGGGACTGAGGGGCTGGGAGGGCGGCGAACTGAGCAGAGGGCCCAGGAGAGGGGGGATGTGGTGAAGGAGGGGAGGGGGCCATCTTGTGCATTTCCCTAGCCCCGTGGCTGGGATGGGGTTGGGCAGAAGGGTCAGCTTACCGAGGGTGCTGGGCTCTGGGTCCTGGACGCAGCGAGAACTGGGGCCCGAGGGACCTGCTGCTGGCCGAGCCCGCGGGCCGCGTCTGGGGGCCGGGCCCAACTCCATCCCTCAGCAGCCTCATGCCCGCCGCCGGCCGGTGTCAAATTCCAGCCCCCGCGTCACCGGATCCTGGGGTGGGGCCCAGAGCGCCCCCGCCCCGCCCCACCTTTCAGGGCTCACCTGGCTGCTCCACCCGCCAGGCTCGGGTGCCCCCTGCCTCGGTCCCCCAAGGTGGGGTAGGGAGGAGTCACTGGGAAGGAACCCGGGACACAGAATGGAGAACCCGGGCGGAGGAGAGGCGAGGAAACTAGGCGTTCAGTTTGTAGACGCTCCAAGTAGGGAGTTGGGAGGCTGGGCTGAGGGCGGGAGAGGGAGGTCGGGGAGGGAGGGGACAGGCCAGTCCCTGCCTTGGGCCGCCTGCCCACCCGGTTCCTGCCCTCTGGGTTCCTGGACCTCCTCAGGGTCCGGCTGAGCACCCTGCCCCGCGGTGACTGCTCTCTGCTCCACCTCTAGTTTCTCCTCTCAACAGACCCGTCGAACTCAGGTCCATCAGTCTGCTCTGGGGCTTTCAAGGTCTGAGCCTGCTCTAGCAGCCCACGGCTCCCCTCCCGAGGCCTAGGGCTGAGACCCCCAGCAAACACCACCGCCAGCCCTGCCCAGCACCCTGAGGGCAGTGCTGGTAAGAGAGGGTGCTGAGCCCAAGAAGCGGAGGGTCACGGAGGAGCGTGTGCACTGAGGCTGGAGGTCAGGGCAGGAGGTAGGGTTTGTGATGCCTCATTTCTGGCATTTTGGCAGGTGGGTTGGAGGGAGGGTGGGTAAAAGGGATAGAGGGAAGGAAAGGCCAGAGCCTTGTGTTGTACTAGTGAGTTTGAGCTTTATCCCAAAGACAGGGCCCGGCTAAGCTGTGCAGGCAGGGGGACGGGGTGATGGCAGGGGGATGGGGTGATGGCAGGCACTTTAGGGACGCACACTGGCTGCAGTAGCAGGGTGTGTGAGGAGAGGGGGTAGCCAGGAGGCTGCTTGTGGGGCGTGCACGGACTACAGGACTCTTCCAGGACTACATCTATTGCCTGGCTGGACGGGGTGAGGGGGTAGAGCGACGGCAGCGTGCCCAGGTGCAGGGGACGCTTTCTGGGATCTGGGGCTCTCTGTCGGGGTAGGAGTCATGGGTTCAGTGTCGGGCACGTTGTGGTGGAAACGCCAGGGCTAATCCTGGTGGAAATGTTCAGGAAGCAATTGACCTGTAGCCTGGAGCTAAGTAGGGAGAGCCGGGCTGGAGATGGCAATTTGGGCATTGTCCACCAGTTGACAGTTGGGAGCCGTGTGTGGGAGGGGAGGAGTGCTCAGGGAACGTGTGCAGACGAGCTAATCCCTGGCTGTGCATCACAACCACCTGTGGCCCTTCTAAGCCACCCACATCCGGGCCCCACCCCAGACCTGAAGCAGAACCTAGGGGTGGGCATGTGCAGTTTCTGAATCTGCACAGGTGATTCTGGTAGACAGCCAGGGCTGAGAACCACAGCTCTGGGCAAATTGTGCGCGCGCCTGTGTGTGTGCGTGCGCGTGCGTGTGCGCATGTGTGTTAGGGCAGGTAGAAACCAGACTGCAGGGAAGCACTGTGGTGGAGGCAGTTGTCCCAGGCTTGACAAGGATGGGCCAGGCGGCCATGGGGCGAGCTGCTGTCTACCCTGTTGCTCCCCCAGCCGCGGCCTCGTGAGGGTGGCCTCCCTGGCCTCGCAGCCTAGGCTCTCACGGTTCCTCCAGTGTGCTGTTCCCTGGGCTGCAATGTGGAGCCAGCCAGCGCCAGAGCAGTCCTGCTTCAGTGAATCCCAGTGGTCTCCTCAGTCAAGGCTGCGTGCGTGTCCCCCTCCTCCCCCCACCCCCAAGGTGGCTTCCTCATGGTGAGGAGGACACACTGCAGCAGTCATGGGCAGGCGGGAAGCGGTGGTCCTTAGGATGGCGGGATTCTGTCCTTTGGCTTCTAGTAGGGGGCCCGGGGCTGCTGGCGCTCTGGGATTGGGACGGTAGCGGCTGGGAGCCCCCTTTCGGCCACAGTGGAGCCCGGCAGAAAGCTCACCCACTGGTTGCAGGTGCAGGTGTGTTGGCCCCATCCTCAGGCCTGTCGGGGTGCTGGGGAAGAGAGGGCTCAGTTCCGGGACTCTGAGGTAGTGAGCGCCAGGGGCTAGAGCCAGGAGAGCTGGGAGTGGGGAAGGTCCGTGGGCCTGGGCTTGGCAGTGTCTTTCCTATGCTGGCGGGAATCTGGCCCTTGTCCAGCTGGGGCTGTGCTGACGCGGGGACTGAGCTAGGGCGGCAGGCTTCGTGCACGCCCTCTGGTTCCTTTAGGAGGCACAGGGTAGCTCAGGCCAAGAAGGTTCGTATGGCTGCCCAGCCAGGCCTTCCGTGAAAGAACCTGGGAACCTGTGGGCCAGGGAGATGGCCCTTGGATGTAGCTGAGGCCCAGACTGCTGTTCTTCCAGGAAGGTCAGAGGAAGCAGAGGAGGCCAGGTTCAGGGAAGAGCTTTATTGCTTCCAGGATGGCTGCCCAGCCTGGGCAAGGGCTCTGAGCCTCACTTCCCTTGGGTCCAGACTGAAGGCAGACCTGGCAGTCTCACTGAACCCCAGGGGAGCTGCCAGTTGGTCAGCCCGGGCCTGGGGCACGGTCCTGTGGATCAGCTGCAGCTGGAGAGCGAGGCAGTTCCCCCTGGATGGGCCAGGCCTCCCCTCCCGAGTGCTGAAGTCTGCTCTGCTCCAGCCCAGGGGCCAGCTTGTTGGTTTAAAGAATGGCTGCAGAGGTCCCCTGGGGCCCAGCTCGAGACAGCTGAGTGGGAATACCTCATCGTTCTCCCCAAGAAAGATCAAGAGTGTCCTGAGCGGGCAGGGCCTGTCATGAGACCCTGCCCCTCGCTGTAGCCAGGAGTTAGGTACAGGCTAATCCCGGCACTCCCACCCCACAGGGGCCACTGGGGCCCCCTGCCTGCCTGATGGGCCTCTCGGGGGCCTGCTTCTGCGTGGCCAGTGGACACACGACATCTAGAACCTTATTTAAAAATAAATTATCCCTCCCTGCCCTCCCCCCGCCCCCAATTCACAAAATGATAATACACCAAACACTGATTGCAGAAATGATTCTGGCAGCAGCCTCGCTGCCGAGCGTCCCACCTCCTGCATGCTGGGCCTGCCGGGCACAGCCAGAGGCCTCTGGTCCCTCCGGCTCAAGGGCCCGGCTGGGCAGGAGGCCCAGTGCTGGTGCCTGAGCAGACACAGCTCTGGCTGCTCCCCAGGGCCTCGCCACCCTGGGGTCACTTGGCACTGTCCTTCTCTGGGCCTGAAGACTCCCACGCCTCTCAGGAGGCGCCAGGCCGAGGCCGATGAAGTGGCAGATGGTGGCGATCGCTGCGTGTCCCCGGTGGTGCCTGGACTCTGTGGCCGCGTGTTGGGCCCACCTCAGATGCCGCTGGTTAGATCGGTGATGACCCGCGCTTTCACCAGCTTCCGCAGAAACTCTTTCTCTCGCTGAATATTGTGCGTCCAGGACTGCAAGGGGAGCGGGGGAGCCGTCAGGCAGGCAGCCGGCCGTGGCCGCTGGAGGGGGCCTTTCACGCACCTTCTCCTGGGGCTCCCGCGCCCTCCCCATCCTGCACTGCACAACCGCCTCCCTTCCCGCTCGGTGACCGTGGGAAACGAGACTTGCCAGCGGTGCCAACAATGATGCTGCTGCTCTGGAAGTGCCATGGCGTGCCGCCCTCCCTGCCCGGGATTTGGACTAACTCTCATCCCCTTTCCCCATCCCAGAGGACTGTGCCTCTTTACTTCTTCCAAGGCTTAGGAGACGTAAGCTTCCAGACTTGTTCCTACAGACTCCAGCCCCCCACCCCTGTATGGCACCTAGGTCCTAGGCACCTGAGGACAGGCAGCGTGAGTCACTGAGGTCCAGCCCTGGCCCAGGGTGGGGTGGCTTAGTCACCCTCTGTCCTGATGCAATCCACGCTCAGGCCTGGGGCGGCCCATGAAGCCCTGTGTGCAGATCAGAGCCGGGGCCTGAGGACAAGGGGCTTCCCTTACTGCTACGGCATGACCGGGGATATGCTGCCTTCCAGGGCTTTCCCGGGGAAGACTGCGCCAGGCCCGGGTTCCCGTCTGTCCTGCTGCTCTCCCCAGGCAGCGCTGAGGACTAAGTCTTTCAGAGAGTGGAAGAGGATCGAGTGAGTGAAGGAAAGCCAACAGCCCTATCATAAGTTTGTGCCCAACTGACATTTACCACTGCTGCTTACTGGTGTGATTCTAGGGCTCTGTCAGCAGCTCATTCTGATCTAGTCAACTCCTCCAATCTTCCAAATCTTTCCATCTGAAACTCAGGCAAAATTCCCTGTATTTCTCTCCTCTGACCAGTCCCTTCAACTTCTCGTGCTAACCAAAACCTGGCTGTCCCCGGGCACCGCGTTCCCCAGACACACATGCTCCCAAGTGGCAACTCTTATGCACCCCCGCTCTCTCCCCAGAGCTGGGCTCAGCCCCTGGGGCTTCCCCTCCCTGCTTCACCACACAACTGTCCCTGCAGGCTTGCTAGAACCTAGGCCAGCTCCTTTGAGGTTGCCGACCTCAGACTGCCCCCTGTGACAGCCCCTCTGAGTTACAGACCCCCAGGTGATCTGCACTCATTCCTTGAGGAGCCAAGCACCTGGCTCGAGGCCTCTTTGAAGTGTTTAAAAAAAAAATAAACAACAGGTCTGAAGCATTTTTCTGTAGTGCCTTCCTACTTGCTTTATTTAATAAAGCCAATTAGAGCTTTAAAGCCATCTTGGTTGGGTTTCTGTTACTTAGCAGAAGGGGCTGAGCACATAGTAGGTGCTCCCCGTCTCACACTGAATGAAAGTAGATTTTATAGGGCCCTCCCTGGTGGCGCAGCGGGTTAAAGCACAGCACTGAGAAGCGAAAGCCACTTCCGCATGAGTTCGATTCCCGCCTGCCCCGGAGGTGACCACATGGCCTGGCAGACCTCTCCTGACCCGCCCACTGCTCCCCTCAGCAGTGTACTTCATCAGTCGGCCTTTTCTGCTCCCCACTCTGTCCCTGGTGAATCCTCTCAACTTCCGCATCTCTGGCCTGTACCCCAGGTCTGTACGAATAAATAAATAAATCTTTTAAAAAAAAGTAGATTTTATAGGCCAGAAAATGAAGGTTCGGCTAATGGCCAGACCGGCCGGGTGGTGCTCCCTGGTGGTCGTGGTGGAGCTCCATGGAGCTTACTCATCTGGGGAACAATTAAAACAGGATTAAAAAATGGAGGTGTGCAGGAACGGCAAGGCCAAGACGCGCGCAAACGTGGACACTCATTGACTCTTCACTTCTGCTCCTATCGTCTCCTGGAGAAGGAACCAGCCTAAGGGCCAGTTTCAGCAAGGTCCACTGGGAGCCACCGAGAATCACCAGCACAGCAGGAGACTATTTGATGCCATGAAGGAATCATTGTTCCTGTTTTTCGCTATGATAATAAAAACACAGCCCTTCTCTTTCAGAGAAACGTTGAGATGTTATGGCTGGGCTGATAACGCTGCCTGAGACCTGCTTCCGAATAAATCCTCTGGCGGCAGAGCGTGAGAGGAAGGAGAGAAATGGCTACTAGCCACCCACTGGTAATCGGGGTGGGCTGTCCGGGAAGCAGAGGCTCACTGTATGTTTAGCAATTATCCTTAAAAAAAGAGTAAACACGGAAAGCCAAGGCTGGAGGTGGCCTCTCTGGCGGGCTCCCCCTGGCTGCTCCACCCATGCAGACGGCACAGGTGCGTCCCTGGGCTCTCAGCACGACCCTGCCCAAGCAGGCTGCGGCCAGGGCCAGCTTCACAGTCCTGGGCCCTGGCCTCTCGGGGACCCCCTGGTTCTGGAGGGCCCTTCCTTCCTTCCTCACCTCCTCTTTAAGTACAGGCACCCCAGATCTCCCG